TTTTTGAAAACTGAAAAGTTTTGTAAACACATTTTAGCTGGGAAAAACAAACCAACCAACCAACCAACACCACAGAGTTTTGAGATCAGCTTCCTAGTAAGGCTGTTGAGGAACTAATACCCAGAACATCTGCATTAAGACGACTGCTCAGACCTGCAGACTCCAGAACTTCCCAATTGCTCCTGGTTGCCTGATGGTCTGTGCAGGTAAGAAAACTTCCAAATGGCATTAAAAGGTGGCCCAAGATTAGTGGATAATCTCCCCTGGAAAATAAGGATCTGCACAACCCCACCTTCTGCTCCATGGGCAAAATAAATGTCTTTGACCTTGCCTCTTCACATATACATAGATAGTAACCAATAGTTTAAAAAGAAGTCCTGCCGAAAGAAGCCAACTCACTGCACGCACTTCTTGCCTTGGGGAAGAGGCAGAAAGAATAAACTCCATGTGGCAGAGGCTAGTCAAGATGCTTAATGCACTCCAAATCTTTTATGTTAAAAAGAATATGATATAAAAGGATAAAACGACAGAGAAAATGTGATGAAATGAAAGAAAAACTGTAACAAAGCAAGATTAAGAAACCGTTCAGAATTACTAAAGCCTTCACGCACATGATGAAAACATCCATGTTTTTTTAATTTAGAAGGCACGCTTGGCTTCAGCAGCTTATCAAGAAAGCCTTGCAGGGAGCCAGCAGCAGAATTCGTAACAACTTCACTGCTCTTGTAAGGACATTTTCTAAAGACATGTTTAAAAGTGCAAATCCCTTTCCCCTTTCATCAATGCCTACTTTAATTTATAGCCCAGTAAATTCACTTTTTAAACTCTGGTGTGGTACCACAAGAGATCTTATGTGGTTACTATGTCCAGGAAATGCTAGGCAACTGATGTGAAGTGAATGTAATTCACTACAGGGATCACTGTGACTGATACAATAGCAGTTTATAAACCTACGGCATATAAGCCCTGTTAGTTTGTACAGAGAAATTTAGTGGCCACAGTGTGGTTTATGAAGGGTAGAGAGTCTTACAAAGAGAGCAACCTGGATGAGGTGGCAGACTGGGTGTTAAGTGCAGAGGATCCCAACATCCCGTGCGTTGGACTGCTGCAGCACGTGCTTTGAGAGACTCCGGAAGAGGCTTCTAGCGGGAGCAGCTCCCGCTGTATCTAAGCGGTAGCTACACATGCAGGCCTTCTATGCTATCCAGATTAATTTCAGACTGGAGGGAGAACTGCATGCTAAGAATTGTTTCCAGCTTAAAATTAGACATTGGGAGGATTTTCATATAGAAGATATGTGGGAAATGCAGATTTACTAATTTGCTGTCTTACAAAGTTCCAAAGCTAAGTCTCAACTATCCTATCATTTCTAGATAGCCGAGAAATTCAGTATGTCAACTGCTGCACTGCAACTGAAATCTGACTCATTCACTCAATGCTAAGATAAAATACATTCATATGGGAGCCTATTTTTAATATCAAATCCTTAGCTTTTCCTTGAGTTAATTTGCTTATATGATTTTGTACATGTGAAAAGGTTTCAGCTGTTTTCTCTTCCTCATCTTGCTCAAGAGCCATGCTTCAAAGAGTGAGAATTTGGTATTATTTTCAAATCAATATGTAGAGGATTTCAAATCAGAGAGAGACAAGTTCCAAGGCCACCCCCCAAAAAATCAAAAGAAAAATCTGACTAATTTCAGTGGATTTTGGATTAGGCCTTTTATTAGGGCAAGACTGGGGCTAAGTCACAGACATCTACTGCTCTGTTAAACAAGCAACTCTGATACTAATGAAGATACTTAAAACAATTTCCAGCATTTTTTAGATTCCTGAAAAGCCATAGTGTATTCCTTAAAACTAAAAACACATAGGAAATACCTTTAAAATGATCCTTGCTTTGGATGAGGGATTGTTATTGGTTGCCCAGTCAATCTTTACTGACCAGCTACAGTAAGATGCCTGTCGATCCTTGTAGATCTTCAGTTCTGTTGCCTGCTGAGGTTTGGCAAAGACAGCATCTTTATAAAGCCATATATATGTTTGTTTGCACATAGGCTGCATGATGTCTCCAAGTCCCTTAGAAATCCCCCCCCCCCAAAAAAAAATGAAAATATATTCCATCTTCAGTATTTAAAAAAAAAGGTACAAATGCAGTTAAAATGCAGTAAGTCCCAATCTCTACCCTCAGTGAAATCTGAAACAAAAACACTGATGTCCATGACTAGTCCCAAGTTATATCAGGGTAAGCACCTCTCTATATAATTTATGATACATTTTTATACGGTATTAAGACAAAATTCAAGAGATGACCACACTCTCATGGAAGAGCACTGAGGTAAAGGCTGGGTTCCACTGAAGTCACCCCAAAGAAGCCAGATTTTCTTTCCTGAAGTATTGAAAACAAGACTTTTTTCGGTGGATTTTCTGATTATTCATCATATAAAGTTGAACAGGGGTGCCAAAAGGAAAAAAAAGCTCTGTAAGATTACCATTTTCTGCTAAATTCTAATGGTTAATAAATCACTTTGATAGACAACAACTGACTTCACCCCTTTAATTTCTGTCATCTATTCAGATGCAAAATGCTGCCCTTCTTTACCCAAGCCCAGCACTGATTGCCCAAAACTAGCTGAAATGGCACAACTCAGCTACCAAACCGGGGCCAAGTAAAGGAAAAACCACACTGCGGAGGTTTTCACCCTCTCTTTATGCACCATAGAAAACGCCCTGCATGGATTTGCTCCACAAGCCAGCAGAAGAGGCAATTTGCAATTAACTTAGTAGCAGCAGATGCAATCTTGTAGGTCACGTGAGGATCCACATGACCTGTAGCATAAATGATCCACCTTTAAGTGCAGTGCTTTTAAGTGCATCTCCAAAATGCTTTCTAGCTCAGGCTGTGGCACAGCACCACAGAGAGCAGGTACACGGCAGTGTCGTGTCAAGGAAGGTGTTATCAAGCCATGCTGGCAGGTTGCTGGTTTCTGTCCCTACTTACTGCTGAAGACAAATTTTAACTTGAATGCTTTGATGGCAGTGATGAGAAGGACATACACAGATGGGTCTGCGTTTGTGACAACGTACTAGTAAGAGGGAAAGCAGAAAAATGTTGACTTCATTTGGTTGAAATCCTCCCTGTAGTAAAAACAAAAGAAGAAAGCCGCATCCTGCATCACTTTATTACTGTGAGCAATCCTTACTCGGGTTTCAGTTCTCTATATTGTCATCAGGATCACTAAGCTTTTCAAAGAATCACTAGCCCTTTATCTGTACCCCCTGCATGATCTGTTCTGAGTAGCACTGTGTGGAAGAATATCTTAAATAAATGGACAGGTAGAAAGAAGGAGTCTTATTTCCAGTTACAAGGGTAATAATGCTTTTTGAAGCTCACAGCAACAACCTAACTACATTTTAATATCTAATGCTATGCATGCTGTATTCTCGTACATTGTGCATGGAAGTCTATGCTAAGAAAATAGGGAACTGTAAGCCAAAAATTGTTTATTTGCATCATTCAGAATGAGAAATCATCGTCTAAACTTGTTTAAATATAATCCACTATGGATTTTTTTCATTGTTTTTCTTCCTTAGCTTGATAAATTACCTATCCCTTTGCTTTTACACCCAAGTGTTTGCTTAATAGCAGATGCATGAGCTTCTTATTTTAAGCAGAAAAATCCTCCTTTTCCCTGTGCTGTGTGTGACAAAATTCAACATAAACTCTTTAGAGAATGGAAAAATAGCAATCTCTGGGAGTCCAGCATGAGTACAAGGAGGTGAGCAAACAACTACCAGAGTTTTAAAGTGCATTCAGAACTCAGATCTCCGACATTAATAACAAAAAAGCCACACACACAAAAGCAACACATCACCTAAATTACCTCACAGCCATTTGCATAAAGGATCCAGAGGCAGCACAGTATAAGTACGGAGACACAAGCCATCCAAAGAGAACTTAGCAACAGTTCTATTGGAAACTGCATGCGTCTGTAGCAAAGAAAGGGCAACTTTTAAGCTCAGATGTGCAAACAGCTTTAAAGGACTGAACAACCTCTTGGAAGAAGCATCAAGCAAATATCTGACACTACAAACCAGGTAATCTACCAAATCATTTCCTTTCGAGCTGACTGCTCTTAACTTTCTTTCTCAAGATTGCTTTGAGTTAAAAAGCCTGCATGATATTCTTAGGGCTGTTATCCAAGGACTTTATCAGAGGTGACAGAAACCTGCCAATAAGAAAGGTAATAAACTCGTTCTCTATTTTAAAAATTGGTAGATCTTCATAACAGTGTACATTTCTTTTACATGTCGGAGATGTAATTAAGCTAAATGACTGTTATACTAATACTAAAGATGTATTCCATTCTGCTGAAGTAAACTCCACTTACTGGAAAAATAAATCAGTGATAGGTGCCTTAGAAATTCCAGTGCTAGCTAGAAGAAATTGAAAACCACTCGTTATCTGGGTAAAAGAAGGTATAGTTACTATTATTTGTCTTGGAAAAGAAATGTGAGGTGCTTTCCCAATGCAAGAAATCTTCCTAACCAACAGAGCATAGCTGTCTTACTATATAGACAAATACGTATGTACATATACAGAGCTACTTGAAATTGGTATACATAGCTAATTAAAAATTAATGGCCTATTAAAGTTGGGCTTTTACTGGAAGTTGGAACAGAAGTATTGCAAATCCCGATATCACTTTAATATGAACCCTTAACAAATGGAATCGCCTAGTGAAGATGGTTTGTAAAGGTATATGCGTGTGCACCTCATGCACAGCAATGGTTAGCACAGAGTTCAAGAGGGAAATTATTTTTGCCTCTTGGCAAAAGACAAACCAAAATAACTGGCTTTCAGAATTATCTGTACATCATGAAGTTAGGTGTTTAAAATGTTAATACTCATTCTGCCAGGAAAAATAAACAAGTCCTCGGTTTCAGGTATGAAGAATTTACAGATTCTTCAAAGAACGTGAAATAAACCGAGAGGACTGTAACAGAAATCAGGAGGGACTTTCCTAAGAGACCTCAATCTCTACAAGCAGTGCCATGTTTCATTTTCAGTATCTGGAAATGTTGCTATTATTGCTGTATTTATTTTGCTCCACCCACCTCCTCTGTCCTTCTCTCTCCCACGGAAGCTGCAGGAACCCGGTACCACAATGCCATCTGTCCAGCTGCCACTGCTACTCCTCTGCCTGACCTTACGGGGTGCCTGCCTCAAGGAGGGGCAGCCCCTTCCAGAAGGAAGTGACCACATGGAAAGAAGTCCCTTGGATGACAACCTGCAGAGGGCAGAAAGCCTCATCCTTCAATCTGTCCTCCAGAAATCCGAAGAGGAAGAAAAGATCAATAAAGGTATATACAACACTGGGGACATTCCTCTGATAATGCTGGCAATAGCACTTGGCTGAGGATCGTTAGATCCAAAATAGTTAGTTCCCAGGTTCTAATGTATATATTTATCATTCTAACTAAGGGAAGTGGAAGGATACAAGGTCTGTTGTAATACACTCACAGAGAATTCTCAAAAGGGACTTTCTTCTCTAAGACCTCCCAGCTCGGGAACTGCTGTGGCATCACTGAGCAGCTGCCACATAGAAAGAAGGTAGAAGCCTATCACGGAAAACCTGCCTGTCTGGAAAGTGCTTCCCTAGGGAAGCTCTAAGAGGACACATGGAAGACGTTCCCCAGTTGGGGACCCTGTTCCTACTGTTAACTGGGGGTGGGGGTGCTCCCATTCATCTACTACCTCACCCCACTGGCTTCTACATCCTGATAGGGGTGAGCTTTGCCACGGCTGGGAATGCTGAGGCTGCTCTGGTGTCAGTCCCTCCTAACTGCTTGCTCTCCTATATGCTCTACTGCCACCAGTCACAGCAGTGGAGGCAAATCAAACTAGGAGATTGTAAGAAGCAGCACATAGGGGCCTACCACCACCAAGGAGCATGGAGCCTCAGAGTAGAAAGAGCAACTGGCCCTGAAGTGTCTGTAGAAATAACCTTCCTCCCTCTTCACATGAATGCTGAGTCAGTCATGTCGACCCAAGGCCTGAAATACTAAGAGATCAGAAATATTGTAAGAGAAACAATAGAGTTATGCTAGCTGGAAATACTGAGCTGGCTTTAAAGATGTTCCTCACATTCCTGATTCTACTTATGTTTCAGTCCTTCCCTTTCCCTGCTTCATGCGGACATCCACCTCTTCCCTCCTATTGCAGCTGATTTCTTCCACCTGCCTAGCATTTTTCACTCATCTCCCTTTACCTGGACCTGACCTACTTCTGAGAAGCAAGTCCCTAAATCCCCACATTAGGCTTTGTCATTGGATTTCTCCCCATTTTGTCTGAAGCTTGTTCCTAACGTATCAATCCATCCTTGCTAAAAATGTGCCAGAACTGTTTCCACAGCTGTTTACGTATCCAGAGTGACCACTTCCAAGACTACACAGTTACTGCGCAATTAAATGGGTGTGATGAGTAAAAGAACATGATCCTGCACCACAGAACTCCACAAATTCACATTTCAATTTCATTAGTGAGGATTATGTGGGTTTATTAACATTACTCTTTTCCTTGGATAGAATCAAATGCCCCCCTGCCAGAATGGCTTTCCAAAAGACAACACCCTGGAAAGAGGTACGTAAGTGACCTGGAGCAGACAGAGCATCCTGGGAAGGGAGAGGATGAAGAAGAATCATCTTATGGAGACATTCAGAAGAGACAGCATCCAGGGAAAAGAGAGGAAGACGACAACCTTGACAGTTACCAGGAGCTAAAAAAGCGACAGCATCCTGGCAGAAGGTCATTGTGGGACCAGCATGCTGCCATCCCTAGTGCACAGCTAGTCTACTTGAATGAGTTATCCAAAAGACAGCATCCAGGCAAAAGGTATTCGATGTACAAACTTCAGCATCTTGGCAGTAGAGGCTGGAATGATGAGCTAGACCTAAGGGACCAGCATGTGGAGAAACACCAGCACCCTGGAAAAAGGTACTGGGATTCTAAAAGCCCAGATTATGCAGCCCCCTGTGACCTTCAGGAGTCCCTCAGCTGTAACAAAGGCAGCTTGTTGCTTGATTTAGTAGAAAATGTCAGCAAAGGCAGGGTAGAAGAAAAACGTCAGCACCCAGGAAGGAGATTAGCATGGGAGAGCGAGGCAGAGGAATGATAAAGTAATTGTGTGCCTTTGGTGAGGTGAACTGCCCGAACACTAAAAAATTCTGTTCACCCCCTTTCAGCTCCCCACTCCTGACCTGCTGCACCTATCTTTAAGTACGTGAGCGTTCCCATTGAAGTTAATGGCTTTGTCACACACTTAAAGTAGGAACTGAAGGTCCCAGCTGAATGGGTCAGGCAAGTGCTGAGGGTCTTCAACTGCCCTGCTTTGGGAAGTTAGGAGTGCTCAGTTACTTGTCAGACCAGCCCCCAAGACGATCCCGCTATGTGTATTCAATGGTCTGTTCCCAAAGGACTATAACAGACTCTAATATTTGTTTAGATGCTACTAAAGCAGAATAATTATATGATTTCCTCTCATGTCAGTCAAATTAGTCAACGAATAGGAGAGAGAAAAAAGAAAAACATATGCCAATGATTTCAAAATGCAACTGAATAGGTTTTCACTTCCAAATGATGCATTAACGAGACACATACCCCTGTGCACTACAGTCTGTCTGGAATACAAGCACTAAGCAGGGATAGAGACTGTGTCCAGCCTGAACAGATCACATGACTGGCTTCATACTTTTGAGTTGGAATGGCCACAAAAACACATTTCACTTAGGAAACTGCACAGCGCAAAGGGTTAACGCATCCCAGAGCAACTAAACCACAAATTGGGAACCCAGCTGCACACACCCTCTACTAGAACCACATCCTGGTGCATGCGCATTTCAGTCATTCTCCTTGAAATCATGCTGTCTTCTTTTTGGGCATTTAAAATTGCAACAAGCAGATATCCTTTTCTTCTGATAAGGATTTCTAATCTCTCCCTTGTCAAACAAATGCTTTTCCTTTCTGCGGTCAGATTGCCAGAAGTGTTCATTTGATATGAATGATTCAATAAACATCAACAGTCAACTCCTGGTGTCCTTACTGGTTGTGCAAGCATAATGGAATAGAGTGAAAAACATAAAACCATCCCAAGATAAATAAACAAAATATCATAGGATGTTTTTCAATGCAAAAAACTTCTTGCAGGCTGGTGTTCTGCACAATATGTAACTGTTTTGCTACTGAAGTGGAAGGGTGATTTGCACAGAGGTATTCTCTTTTTAAATCTGCTTGTATGATACAATAAAAATACACACCTGGACTAAACCGACAGCAACCTTGTCACACAGCTCAAAGGGAACTTTAATTGTTTGAGACTGATCCCAGCAAACAAAAAGTGGTTTGAGGCAGACCAGCCTCCCACAGAAGAAGAAAGGTTGAATAATCTACACAGCTCAAACCTTCTACGTTTCATAATCTTGCGCAACACAGTTACATACATATCACTGAAGAGTAACAAAAAATTTCATCAGTCTTTGTACTGTATGCTTGCTAAATAGCTTTGCTGAAGCTGAGCTTAACTGCCATCTGATCACTATGTTTGTACACATATGCACAAATACCCTTAGAATTGTATAAAAAATAATTTATATGAAATTAAAATACTTCTACTTGGGCTTGTAATGTTCATACCATGGGTTGCAAATACAGAAGTGCTTCTTGTGCTTCGTTCAAGGTTTCCACTGTTTTAAAAAGAAATTGTCATTACATGATGTACCTACTTCATGCACGGTATCAGCAGGAGAGTGAAAAAAATAGATGTCTGATTCCCTATTCACAGGTCTAAACACTAGATTTACTGATTTTTGCAATTAATGCACAGTTATTGAGTGCAGACTTATTCATATCACTTCTTATACATTCAAAGTTGTTACAGCATGTCAGTATGTTACGCTACGTCAGTATATGTGCTAGAATGCTGTTTTTTTAAAGCCAGGTGAGTGTGCTTTCCATTACATCTTTCTTAACATCAAGACATGCTCTTGAATGTTCCTTTTAAAGATGATTGTTTCCCCCCTCCCTGCCCCAGAGCACTTCCTGAGCCACAAAAGTTAGTTTTGCTACATGGCGCAGCTACCCTGCAGAAGAATAAACAGCCATCTCAGCAAGTTTTACTTGTCAGATATTAGATGCCCGTAGGCTGATCAACACTCAACACAGTTAATCAAACAATTTGTAACTTTGGAGATACTTTGCAGTATTTCATATATGTGACAACTGGCAGACCTCTCCCGGTGACAAGGGTTTTCTAATTAACAAGTGCTGAATAAATTCTCAGAGGAGGTAATCGGGAACAGTCTGTACACTTCAAATTTCTTCACCATCTTTTCTATTTCTGGATATGGTACCTTTTTAAATGAGTAGTTTTCACTGTACAAGGGGAAAAAAAAAATTTCTCTGGAGAACGCTATTTCAGATACCATTTCCTGCTAACGAATGATGCTTTTTAAACCTCAGGGAACCCTGACAGCACTACACAAGACCATCACCACTATAAAACATCCAAAGTAAAGGAAAAACAGGATAAAAAAAAGATACTAAGTGGGCAACAGCAAAAACGCATCACAGTTCCTGCAAGACAGGGACCCTGCTAATATCACTACGAGAAAGTGAGGGCAAGGAAGGGAGAGAAGCAAGAAAGCCCAAGGCTGAAAATACCAGTGCTCACACTTTCCCGAGTGTGAGGCCACCGGGAAACTCCCCATCTGCTAAAGCTGTTAATGTGCAACGATGAATGGCTGGTTCAAGATATTAGGTTGCAGCCTGTAAAATCTACACTCTTGAGCAAATCTCAGATGCATTTTATTATCAATAAATAAATAACCTACTGGCCATACTGAGAGAAGACCACAGTTGATTTTATCTAAGTCTTTAATTTATTCATCAGCTACATTTTAGATTCTCAGTGCTCCAGTATTTACAGAGCTGACAAGTTTTGCCAGGGCTCGTCGTCTGTTTTCTGTTTGTTTGTTTTTGTTTTTAAAGGCTACCACTGTTATAACATTTGTAAGAAATTATTTCTATTGATCTTGGGTGGTTCCCCCTGCCCACCTTCCCTTCCAGAAATCCAAGCCTGAGTTGACAGTGTTTTTCAGTAAATTCAGATTTACCACATGTCATTATCATGCCTGCAATTTTAAAAATTTGCCTCAGTTTGGAGCTGCTGAAAATGCACTTGTCTGACCGGAAGAGGCACAACACAAGCAGATACTGGGAGAGCTCAGACTGCTACCAACCCATTTCAATCACTTTCAACAAAAGTTCATTAGTCCAGCAAGAGGTCTCTGGAAAGTGAGAGAAACGCACCTAGGACGGATTCTAGGGCAGGGGTGGGACCCAACGGGAAAGATCGCCTGCCAAGTTCTGTACGCCAGCAGCCAGTTTAAAGAAGGACAAGTCACACATTCCCATTCAAAGCAGCACACGTGCTGATCCTGATGCTGGCCTGACACATCCATCGACAGAAAGCAGGATAGTTTTGAAAGTGAAACTTGAGGCAAAGGTCATGAGCTTCAGTCAATGACATGGGTTTGAAAATCCTAGAACCTCAGAGAGACTGGGATTTGAAACAGAACTGAACGGAGCACAACTTGCTGCATCATATTTCCCACGTCTATAACAGTCTAAGGGACCACCAAACTTACTGCTGAGGTGCCTGGGAAATAAGGAGGCGGGGGGGAAGGCACCATAAAAATGTAAAATATACGATCAGAATCATGAGAAAGTGCTGTCCTGTGCTTATAATCAAGCATAGCAGATGGATGTGTTTTTTCAAACTTCATCAGAAAAACTCATACAAAGCCAGCTACAGAGAACAGATCTTCACATCCTTGAAAGTCCTGACATTGCATATTAATTTCTAACATCATACTTCCGTCCTCAGGCTTGCCTTTGAGAATACATCACTGAATCGCATGGTCCCTGAAGCCTGCAGGCAAGATACAGAACCATCACCACCCAGTAGCCAGGAAAGTGACAATCCTGACAGAAATCCTGGGAGGCAGAAGTAGCATGCTGTTAAACCTTGCAGTTATTTGTCTAATTATGGCTACTTGCAGTTTTTTTTGACCCTGGGGTTCCTGTATCCGCATGATTATTTCTGATTATGCTAAACATGGTTCACTGGAAAGGCTTGAGGATAGAGCTACACATGCAGCTTAGGAAAGAATAATGTTAATCACTAGATTCAGCTTTTCAGGAAGGCTAGACTATTTCCTGGCACTTGCCCAGCTGGGAAGCAGATCTGAAGAAACGGTAATCTCTGGCAGGGGACAATGACAAGTAAGTGAGGCAGATTACTAAGAGCAGCAAGGAAGGTAAGATGCAGTCTGGAACAGCCTAAGCTTTATTCCTTCCACTGTTCTCAAAAGCTACTTGCGTCTGTACAATTGGTACAGCTGTGTGAAGGGCATCAGAGAAAATAAAACCACATGGGACTATTATGCATAAATAAAATAAGAAGAAATGCACTAATGATAGCCTTTACAAACAGAAACACAGTAACTGGTATAAAATTGATAGATGGAGCTCCAAGTTAAACAATCGATGTAGCCAAAACTTTACAGTTTTTTGGGGACAAGCTCTTACATGTGCACCAAGAAGTTACCTCTGCAGACTTGGAAAACACCTGCCTATGTCACCTTCTTCCTGCTTATGTCTGCCAATAACCCCAGCTTCAGCTACCATAAATGTCCATGAATTTTTCCATGGTGCTTCTTCGCACAGAACTTTTTTCCCTGTCTGATCCACAAGGCAACTAACTCTCCTTGTTCCTTTCAATATCTACCAGAGACCCACTTCAGACAAACAGCCTATAATAAATTAGCCAATTAGTGAAGCACACTCAGCCCCTACCAAGACAGACTTTCAGATTAAAACTGAGCTGCAGCCACTGCTGGTCACGTGCTCTTCCCTCTGATGAACGCTGCGTTTTTTGTGACTATGAAATACATATAAGCACAACTTTTGAAGTTAAATATCTGTCAGATTTACATAGACCTTAAAAGCTTTTTGGGCCTGAGGTTCGGGTAAGGGATGAAACCAGAAAAGAGCCAGTTTCTACACTGCAATCTTTGCTTCTTTGAACGGTAAACACAGTGCAATCCCTTGGCGATACGAACTAAACAGATATATGCTACTTACTTTTAAAGTAAGAATTTGCTAACTGCATTTCACATAACATGTTATTTTTACTGTATAACTTCCCCTTGCTGTCATCTTTTGTTAGAATTTAACATCTGTGGAAACACCTAGATGTTCCAGGCTTTGCTCATAGCTTTGCTCAGTCACACATGTAAATGTAGATACACATATCGGTAACTGCAGAATAATGCTCTTAAGTTGCAAAGCTCTCCAGTGAAGTGTATTATTTGTCTGTGGCCCAGTTTGTGGCTCTTGAGGAGTGATAAGAAATCAATAACAGACTTAGTCCAAAGGTTACTGGAGTCAGTGGAAAGGTCTCTCTTGTCCTCTGCAGAATCTGCATTATGTCCACAAAGCAAAGCTGTACACTGGCCCTAATTTGCCATCACAGTGATGCAAATTCTTATTTCCAGCTCTGACTGGGATTAAAACAACCCTTCATAGGTGAGTTCTTTGTTAATTCCACTTAAGTTTCACATTTCCGGCATGTTACCAGTTACGGAGACATACAAGAGTTTGATTCCCAAAGAGCAGCTTCTGTAAATGCCTTCAAAATGAGCTTTGTTTTCAATGGGAGGGGGAAGCCAATGCGAACAAATGGTGTAACTAACATTTCCTGCAATTATTTTCAACTCCTCTCATCATTACTGCTCTCTGCCTCGCTCCCCCCCAACCTATCAGCCTTGGACTCCTTGCTAAATCATTATAATTAGCACGTGCTGAAGGTTTCCAAGGGACATGGGCCCCCCCCCCCCCAAACTCCCCTTAGTATTACTTTTAGTGATTCCTCAGTTGGAGAAAGTTTGAAAACATCATCACCAGAGGTGAAGTAGAGTCGCTGCTTGCCTGGTGACTCACTCAGTTAACATTAAGCTGCCAGCTGCACTCTTAAAAGTGCTCAAAAGCAAGCACATCATTCTAACAACCTCTTTGAACAAGCAAGTTGTGTTGAAGACGACAGCAACAACAGCCCTGCAAAAAATCCACAAATCATATACTGTCAAGCAGCCTTTTCCTTCTGCCAAACAGCAAGACAGTATCTAGGGGGCATTCTGCTTATAGATTTTAGACGTGCTGCCTTCAAGATGGGAATTGGTTGCTGTACAAATTTGTAGGGGAAACAGAAGACAAGAGAGGCTACCAGAGAGAGTACCCAAATATGGTTTCATCTGAAATCTTAAATGAGTCCTGAACACAATCTAAACATCGTGGCGTTATGGATCCTTCAGTTACAACATCAAACAATATGTAATCACAGAGGAATTCTGAATATTCCTCTCTCCCCTCTTTATAAAGTGGTGCCGTTCCATGATATCAGTAGCACTCAGGACAAATACGCCACATTCATCAGCCGCGTGAAGGGAAGAGGTAAATTTGTGTTGACGACTGGCCTGCTAGACAGCCTCATTTCACTGCACAGAACCTCAGCACTAAGACAGTACTGAAGGAGTTAACAGGCAAATCACAGAAATAGGGCTCGACAAGTTGCCAGCGGCAGCTCCCACAAGCCATCGTGCTGTCAGTTTTGATTGACGAGTCTGCAAACACAGAAAAATCATAGATTTGGCATGGAGATGTAGCTTCTCTTATCCTCCCTATGTAGACTAATTAAACAAGTTTGCTTTGTATCAAAGTGTTTACTATAGGCAGCTTGAGTATATTCAGTATATGAATTTTCATTAAAAGGTACTTAAGAACAGAGATCTGCAACTTTAATTTTGCTCAGAGAAAAAACCTTGCATAAAATGTTGTTTCAGATCTATCCAATGCAAAAAAAAAAAACAAAAAACAAAACCCAAACTGTTTTCTCAGATATATGAAAATTAGGCTTCATTTTGGGTTATTGGAAACATTAGGAATATTTTGCACAACCTATTCTGAGGTTTAAAACTACATTTTAAAAATTTATCACAAAATTTAGGCCAATTTCAAAAACATAGCATCCATTTAGACCAAATACTTGTTTAGTTTAGAAAATACTAAGGAAAAACATTCTGATTTTTCCAATCTTTGCTTCCACCAAAAGGACGGAATGAATTCAACACAGTTAGTTGTCAGATATTTTAAACTTTTTTCAATGAGTAAGCCATATTTGTGTAAAAACGCTCCATTGCATTCCTTGAGCAGCAGACAGGCCTTATCAAGAACTACCTCTAGTCTACATTTACCTCTCTTGTGCTGGGATCAGACTCTTATTATTTATCATGGCAAATGCCACTGAGGATTTTACAGGAAGATAAAGAATATAGGAGAACCTAAGTGCAATACCCTTCCGGCAGGACTTTGCCATTGCTACAGAGCTGACTGGCTTCCTCCCCTCACTTGTATCCTCACTCAAGTGTCTCGTCTTGGACATCAGACGCAACGACCAAGTTCGCACCAGACAGGGCCCTAAAATTCACTATTAGAGGTATCATAGCATCTCACGAGATATTATACAACTTTGTTAACTGAATGTTTGCAAAGAACTTTGAGGTCCTTGGATGAAAGCAGGTCAGCTAACATCACAAACAGGACCCCTTCACTCTACTCCTGCGGCAGAGCAGGAGGAGTTATATATGAGAAATGGGGTTTTGCAGGCCAGGTGTTCATATTCCGGTGGCAGGGACGGGGCAGTGAATGCGCCACTCGAGCAAGCCTTTGAAACACTCTCCTTTTTTGTATTGCTGCTCTTTCAGTTTGATTCACAACGGCAAATCATTACTGATTCAAATTTAGTCCCCAACAGCATCAGTAGCATTTCTGTAATGTTTAATTGGTCCCCAAATACCTTTTAGATTGCTGTTTCGCATCACCATCTCTTTCCATTGCAACTAGCTGGATGAACCCAAGTTCATTTTTGAAGTAGCATAAACTGGATTGCTTTAGACTGAGATGTTTTTGGACCCTGAACATTCTCTGAGTGGGAAAGTGCGTCTCAATGAGCGGCAGGCAGCCAAAGTCTATTCCCATTCACACCAGCACAAGCCTAGGTCATTCCCCTGCACTTCAGGAGGGATACCTAAGCCCAAATTTGCCTTTGGGAACCAGCAATTACCGTTGACGCATCACGACTACATCTGGCATGCTGACTCTGCATCATTTATTACTTCTCTGATTCTCAGTCTAATAGCGTCGTAAATATCCACACCACAGTGAAGTGGTGCAACGACTCACTTGGTTGCACTCAGCGAGCTCCTGAGGAACTGCTAAAGACCATTTCTGTTTAGAAGTGTGCAAATCTATAGCGTTTTTCTTTCAAAGTGCTGAATGAAATCTCTCTGTTCAAGAGTGACTGACACATGGCTTTTTATCCATACTTCAATAAGATTCATTTGGTGAGATGCTCTGTTGTAGTCTGTTGTCAAAGGCACAACATGCAGAAGAACGTAATTAACTAAAGATCCAGTGAAGTCTTTGATTTTTAGAGTACGTTGCAGCATGTTAGCATGCTTACCACAACTCACTGTAGGCAGTCCTTCTCACTATATGGTTATCGTCCAACAGCAAGCTATTATTTTAAGACTTTAATCATTGTATTTACCATTTTAATAAGCCTTTAAGATTATCCATCTGAAAATTAGCAGTTACGGAAGCTACGGCAAAGCTTTTCTTTTTTAAGAAAAGACCTTGCTGCTCAGGAGCCTCCCTCTCCCTTGCCCGACTCTTACCACTTCGGAATGACAGGACAGGAGGGGCCCGAGCTGCCAGGGTCGGTCATCAGGGCCTCACGGCCAGGCAGAGAGTCCATCCCGAACGCTGGGCAGCCCCAGCGCTGTGAAATCCCCTGCAGACGCCCGCTCCCAGACCCTCGGCGGTTCTCAGACATGCTTGTTGTGCCATCTGGCGGCAGCCGCTTCTCCCCCCCTACCCGCTCCTCGCCACCGCCCTTCACCGCCCTGGCAAGCCACGCTT